ACATAAAGTAAGAAGATGACAAATAGAGCCTCTCAGACTATGAGGATCAGAGCAGTTCCCGACAATGGTCAAGGCAAGGTTAGTGCTACTGTGTGACCCTATGTTAGAACCTTCTAAAATCAGTATGAAGAGGGCCTAACTCCTGCTGAATCTGAGGAGTTTCAAAGCTTTCCTTCTAAAAGAGTTAATGCTTTTTGCAATCATATGAACTATTACAAAAGCCATTTCTTTCGCCATTCATCCAAAAGATCCCCGTTTCTGAAGACAACATCACTTTTTAATAGGTGCAGGAACCTAAACATTCAATAAGATTTCTTCCTCCACTCGTTAATAATTACATGATTTATCAGAGAAATATTGTAAAAACAAAACAAAATCCGACCGCACAGTCTCCCACCAAGTCATTTCCAGAGACAAGATTATTAAACTCTTTTTTTCATTGTCCAAACAAGGGCTTTTGTACTAAAGCACCAGTTGCCCAAATGATAGGAAAATACCTTATTTTCCTGCGTATAAGACTACTTTTTAACCTGCAAAATCTGAGGTTAAAGTGGGGGGGTCGTCTTATACGCCGGGGTATAAGGATAAGGAGGATGGAGGTGCTAAAACTCTATATTTTGACTGGAAAATGGGGGGTCGTCTTATACGCCGGGTCGTCTTATACGCCGGAAAATATGGTAGTTATTAGACTCTGAAGAATTCAGTGGCGGTAGGAAGTTATACAAACAAATCACTTCTGCAGATTCAGAAAGAAAGCTTTTATCTCACTTATGGGGCCTTAGGAGACCTCCATTAATTACCCTGAAAATCTTTCAAACAGACTACTTTTTAAAAAGAATATTTATTTATTTCCAAAAAGATGCCTCTTCAAAAAGTATTAAATAATGCCTGCAAATTAAAAGCTTTTAAATAAATAAATAAATAAATAGAGGTAATTTTAAAAAAAGAAGACAAGAATTAAATCAAGCTGCAAGGCATTATCCAGAATCCATTGTGCTCTGTATTACTAAATTCAAGGCTAAATTTCTAGTTCCCACAGCTCAGAACACTTGGGGGAAAGATCTCTGCAGGAAGTCATTATGACAAAATACAGACTAAGCCAAAATCAAAAACATCTACAGAAACATCCCCAAAGCTCAGCTTGTCATTTTGCAATTACACCTTGTCTACTGGGGAAGCAAGAGTCCCTAATTTTGCCACTAGAGGGAAGAACTGTCTCAACACATGGCAGCAGTAGATGGAAAATGGGTTTTCCTGAGCAATTTCCATAACAATACTCCCTTGGCTGTATGTACCTTCTAATTACTCAGTACAATTAAAATGACTAACCTAAAAAACAAAATGGGACTGGGGAAAAGGAAATAGCCAATTTTTGAGGCTTCATTATCTTACAATTTTATTTGTCCTTCCTTATTTATTTTTCTTCTATAAAACAGAAAGGAGAATGTCACTTTCTGTTCTGTTGCCCCATTTCTTTCCCCCAACCATCCCCACCTTAGGAAGTTATACAGTGAGGCAATATTGACAAAAGCAAGGAGAACTGAATTGCTTGTAAAACAAAAAACTGAAAACAGCCTTCCCCCCCCCCAAAAAAAACCACCCTACACAACCTCAAACAAAAGAGAAATGTCATGGTATTTAGCCATCTGGTAGCAGCCTGAAAACAAATTGTCCACCAAAGAGCAGAAATATAGTATATTTTTTCTCCATTCACTGGCTTATCCACTACTCTCCTTGCTTTTTAAAAATATAAAATAAAGTAGATAAGCTAATGTTCACTGTATTCAGATGCAGGAACTTCCCTATGTATGCTCCATAATTCAAAAGGCACCATAGCCTCCTGGGCTAACTCTATTTCCCCTCCCCACCATGGATGTAGCTCTAAAAGCTATTTAAAATTGTCTCTGTTTTCTTTTTACCAATAACAGCCTGCCTTGTGCTTGCTGATCTTCAGAGGTTTAAATCCTTCATTTTATGCTAGTCATTAAAAGGGAAGATGGCATCCCAGTCAGTCATTTTTCTTCCCATTGACAACTGGTGACATTTCTCCAGCAGCGCACAAGGTGTTGAAAACCTGGCAGCTGTTACCTCCTAGGACGCAGCTCCTTTTTTATCCTCCTCTTGACAGTTTAACTCAATGGGTCAGCACCTTTAAAGACTGCAAAGTATCACTGAAGTGGATGGACAGAGTTGAATTACTGCACCCTCCCTAATCAATGTAAACCCTCACTGCAGGTGAAACTCTTCATCTATAGAGGTGCATGGAGGAGGAAAATGTAATGCCCTAAGCCAGATGGGTTTCTTCTTGTTTTTGTTTAAAGAAAGGAACAAGCTAACAAGGGGACAGCTACTCTGTTAGCTCCCTGGCCTCTCTTATGGCCCCAGGGTTCCAGCCACACAAGAGAAAAGAATCCCGCATACACGTAAATACTTAAAGAAATTTAACTAGGGAGATGGCAGCATGCTGTTTTCAAAGAGTTGAGAATCCCGTTCAGAGCTTTATTTATTACTAACCACGGTCACTTGGCTGCAAGTGGACACAGAAACAAAAGGTCAGGAGAATAGATAATGTTGGTAATTTACTTTCCTACAGAGGAATTCAGAAATTCAGCACATTTGACAGCCTGGATTAGCATTAAAGCAGGGTAAGGAAGGCCCAACAGGTCTTTATACTGCAAAAGTACATTTCTGCTGAGAAATCTCAAATTTCTCCAATAGTGAAGTCAAATAATATTGGAATACCTGCTCTTGAGTAGAAAAGAAATAAAATAAAGACAATTTTAAATGTTAATAGGATAAAGCACACACAGACTATGAGCACTTTTTAAACTTCTAATTTTTTACTAACAAGAATTAAATATCGATAAACTATTGTGTTCTACTTGAACTCCCCCACCCTGACTCAGATACACATACCCTACTTTACAATAATTATGAAGTGATGTATATTTTACTTTGCCTCATCCTTATTATGCTGGCTTGTAAGCATCCTATGGTTATGCCTAAGCAATTATACAACCCAACAAAATGGCAGAAGCATTGTAAGTTCTCTAAAACCTCTTAATGTTTTAACCATAAAACTGCAATGTATGAGGTACTGAATTAATGAAAATCCTGCTGTTGGAAGGAAAATGAAGAGATAAGCCAATTAGTGACAGGGAGACATTGATGGTTGTCCTACTTTCACTCTTATGTAGGAGCTCTTGCACTTCAAAACAAAACGAAAATATGCAATGCACATCGTCACAATTCCACTGTCATCAGCACTTCCCCATATTCACCATTGATATTATTTTCTCTCCATAGACTCCTCCCATTTGCTCCACTGAACAAGTCCTGACAGCAAAAAGGCACTTCATTATTACCCCATTTGAGCAAAGGAGATTTACTTTCTTTAAACAACCTGCATTGTGCCAATCTTTTTATTAAGACAGTAGAGTAATCAAGTTCAGGGCAGCCCTGGACAGCTGCCCTGTGACCTATGCTTGCTGACCCTTGCTATTCATCACTTTCCATTGGAGTAGGAGGGCAAACTCCTGGGGAGTGACCACCACAATAGGCAGATACAAGCCGAAAATAATATGGTTTCTGTGAAGACAAAGGGAAAACCCAGATGGCACAGCAATAAATTTACAAATCTGCATTCATGGCTCTGTTTAACAAACCCCATAGCCAAAAGGCTAAAAGATCCCTGGAGAGCTTCCCCGTCATTGGTTTCTAAAGGCTAGTGTACTCTCCCTCTCCTCCCCTCTTTAGGTTACTAAGCCCCAACTCTTCAATTGAAAGGAAGCCCTTAAAATAACAAATGCCCGACCTAATCAATCTACCAATCTGATCCAATGCTAAATGATGGGTACTGAAAACTAATTATATATTTTGGCAAGAATGTTGCATTTCAAATGGAAACATACAGGTTAAAAAGGCACTGAAGCATTTGAGTCTTTTTGAAAAAATCTGCACATATGCACAAAACAGAGCTCAAACCAGGAATCTTATTCAACAATTCACACATTTATTTTTTAAATGAATCAAATTAGTCCCATGTGTGACCTGCTGCTCCATCTGTATTCACTGGACTTAATGGGCACTCTTTTCACACTAGCTTCCATTTGAAGTATGAGAGAGATAAATTTAGTTTAATTTTCAACAGATCAAGCTATCCATTTTCCAAATGGACCATCTGGATCAGCCTATTAAAATTAATTTATAACTTAGCAGTGAGGAAATTTGTTTGTTAGCTTAAACACTGTTGCCAAAAACTTTCTTCCCTTGACATGGTTCTCCAGGACTCCACATACACATGAACTGAAGACATACATCTTGCCGCCACAGTTTTTATGCCAAACTCCTCCCACTCCCCAATGAAAAGCAGCTAATAACATCTACCTGTATTTATTTTGCTAATTCCTGGAAGATAGAGAGGAACAGACACTGAAATTGGTCTGCATGAGATATAAACATACTTAAATTTTCCTCACATGGCATCTCTGCTTTAGAAATGCAATGCTGAATTGACTCTTGTATAGTCAGTTACAAAATATTGCTCACCATTTGCACAGCATTGTCAGGGTTTTGTGGGTCACCATGAAAGTTGGTTTTTGGTTAGCAGAAAATATAGCTTTTTGCTTTTCTTCTAAATGAGGAATATATATTCCATATATGTGGTGCAAAAATGTACACTTTTTTCTTCAGTAAAAATAAGACATCTTTTTTTTTTTGCTTGCTCCTCCACCCTCTCAAAGAAACATCTTGTAAGCCAAATTAGTTCAACCTTGCTTTTATAAATCATATTTCAACCAAATGATCACTTTTCTTTTCCCACTATCCCTAGAATTCTCAGCTGTACCATACCAATGAATATGTGTGGCTTCACCAAAGAGCATACTACTATGTTTGTAACCTCTAACAAAACACTGAAACTTAAGAAGTTTTAGATAAACCCAGAATATGACTGCACCCAGTTTCCAAAATAATACTTGAAATTACCAGCTAGTACTGCATGAAGCATGGCGTAGCGGCTTGAGCACTGGACTAAGACTCTGGAGGCCAGGGTTCGATTCCCTGCTCAGCCATGAAACCTACTGCATGACCTTGGAAAAATAATATGCTCTCAGCCTCAAGGGAGGCAATAGCAAACCTCCTCTAAACAAATCTTGCCAAGAAACCCCCATGATAGGTTTGCTTTGGGGTTGCCATAAGTCAGAAACGACTTGGAGGCACACAATAACAACTGCATTAATAGAAGATCTTGTAAGATCACTGGAATTTCCCTTTTGTTTATATCTAAGAATAGGTGGGGCCAGGAACATATCTGAGTATATGTGTGTGTGTGTGTATGTCTTCAAGTCACCTGTTGACTCATGGTGACTCCATCAATTTCATAGGATTTTCTTAGGCAAGGAATACTCAGAGGTGGTTTTTCTAGTTCCTTCCTCTGACATATAGGCTACAGCAGGGGTAGGCAACCTTTCCCCTTTAAGGGCAGAGGGACTTCAGCTCCCAGAATCCCAGGAGCTATTAGCCAACATGGCTGAGGCTTCTGGGAGCTGAAGTCCCTTGTCCTTTAAAGGGGAAAGGTTGCCTACCCCTGGACTACAGCAGTTGGTATGTGTTAGGAGTCTTCCAACCAAGTACTAACCAGAGCTGATATTGCTTAGCTTCCCAAATCAAGTGGGATCTGGTGCTGTTAGTTTACATTATTGTGGTCACACAGAGAAAATAAGAGTTAAGGTGTAAATATGTATTGACCTTTGCCTAAGGGCAGTATAATCTTGCTGGGACACAAAAGGTCAAGCACGATGCAGAAAGCATGAATGTCTCTTGAACGTATAATGGTCAGGTGACTGTTGCATGGAAAAGAACAGTATAATCTGCCTGACTGTCAAGTCTTCTTCCTAGACTTTACTTAAACAATACAGGATCCAGGGAGAAAAAGTTCTCATGTGACTTAGAAAGACACTAGCCCCAAGTTGGAAGAGGTGAATGGATAATGCCTTTATATGCTTTGTATGTTTCAAGATAAGCCAAAGAGCTCTCGGTGTTTCCAGCTAAGGAGTGAGGAGAGGGATTTAGCAGACCTGAATTAACTACATACCTGCCTGAGTGCATTCTTCTCAGGAATGATCTTCCTTGGGGGCTCATCATTATTACAGTCTTCTCTATCAGATGAATTCTATGCAGAGGGCAGAGGAGAAAATGAAAAAAACCATATTAGTTTTTTCAGCATTCAGCTGAGAAAACAACAACAGCAATTATATACCGTACTTGATATTTTGGGAAGCATCATACAGGAAATATAGCTTTGTTCTCACTATGGACGTTATCACACTGGCCCTAAAGCAGCGTCATTTCAG